ATAAATGAGAGGCAGAGACGGGTAGTTATATTCATTCTGTAGATTATGATGTGAGAAATGTTTCTTTGCGTGTGCCTCAAAATTTTAGTTTTTAATGGCCTAGAATGCTTTGTTTAGGATTTATTTAACAAAATAGATTCAAAAATGCTGCTGAATGTTGCGGGTTGCATTGATATTAATATTTAGTTTTGTTCCGCAGTGCCATACATTTGTTATGCAACATGTTTACATATACATATATGTATACACTGTATTATAATATACAGTCTGTTTATATTGTCATCTTCTTTTAGTTAATAATTTAATATAAAAGTTTTAATTGAGAGCCTCACTGTGTGTCAATTTCTTCAAGATGGATCAGAAAATGTATCTCTATAAATACAAGACAACAATTTTTTTTTACGTTTTCCTAAAGATGACCCTAGTTCTTTGCCTGTATGGCATATTTTAACCACAAAAAAAAAAAAAAAAGTGGATTTTTGTTTACAGCTTTTGAAATAAATTATGTGATTTGTTTCAGGGGTTGTGTGAATTGCCATTGCAAGTGGTGCTCACCCACGTCAACGAAGAAGAAATCAAAGACGAGGTGGTGACCATTAGTAGTGATGAGGTATGTCACTAACATTTATTTCTGTAGGCAGTGTAACTGCAGGATGAGTTAATTGAGTATAGTCATTATCTCAACCAAAAAAAGTTCATTTGTTTGAGATTACAAGAAACTGAAATAGAAAAAACAAAAATTGCAATTTTATGAAATTTAAAATGGATATAAAATACAGTTCTTCTTCACTTGAAATTTACACAAGGGAGTCAGAAATTTTAAATCTTAAGAACATCCTTTGAAAATTGTGGATGTTATGGAAAAAGAACAGTGAAGTTTCAGCTAATGACTTGATGAAGCAAAATATTTGAATTTGCTTTAAGTGACAGGTATATAATTGAAAATGTTATTATGTGTATTTGCATTCTTGTAGGAGTGTGAACGACCTTCATTGGTGGTGTTTCCTCGTATTAACAAAGATATGGATGAAGGGGAGACTAGGGAACGGATTGTGTGTGAGGAGGTGAGCATTAAAATGTAATGGCCTGTTGATTTTTGTGTACAGAGTATGGAGAAAGTTTTGTATTCTAAAACTCATCCCATATTTTCATGACAACACATGATTCGAGGGATCAAGGAAATTTTTTTTTCTGTCCTCTCTCTCTCTCTCCCCCTCCCTCATTTTATCCTCATTGAAATCTTGTCATATCTTTTCGTATGTTATTGAGGCAATTTTTCATATGTACAGGGGCACATTCTAAAATAGTGAACATTTTTCAAAAGTTAAAATCATTCTGATGTGTATCATCTTACATTTATCCTTATCATACAATAATTATTTTATAATTAATGAAATGAAAAAAGAAAAAAAAATCTTGTTAAGACAATTTTCACATATAAATTCTTGTCTCTAATTTTTCTTCACTTTCTTTCCTTTCTTGTTTTCTTTCTTTCATGGCACTTTTAATGAATAATGAATGGATAATTTTGAAAGAATGAGTTCTAAATCATCAAATGATTCCTCATTCTTATAAATGACTACAAAGAATTTTATGGTTTGGTGAATGGTATTAAGTGATTAAATACAATTGACCTTCTTCCTGCAACTTCTTAGTGTTGTATGAGTTTGCTAATGTATTATTTATTTTTCTGGAAGTTGGGTGTACTATGTTCAGTGCAACCAATGTTGAAAGTTCACTGCAACTGGATCTTCCAGTGCTAATTTCCTGTGTTTGTCAGGACTAGTGACTTTAGTGCACTGTATGATACAAAAGGTTATTGTATCCAGAGTTGATTGTAAATATGCAGTCAACTTTGGATACAGTGAACTTTCCACATCTGTTTTTCCTCTTGTGCACACATTCTTTGTTACATTGCTTCACCGTTTTAATTTCTTTGACCTTGTTTATATTGTATCTATTTCAATATCATAAGTTTCTTTCGCTCTTTGTTCCATTTGAAGCCATCTTTGGTGTTGTTGCTACACATTCTGAGTCAGAAAAGCTTTGAATTTTCTTTCTATTCAAAAGGACAAATTTTCTTATGTACCGCTGGTTGAATCAAAAGCTAATAAACATTTTAAGATTGAGTGAATTAATTGCATATTCCTTGTCATCTATTAATAGTATATCTTGGAAATAAGAAGGTTGATTTACTTTTAGTTAGTACATTAATAGCAATTAAGGTTAATTAATGTAACTAATATAATGCAGGAATTTTCATATAGGGGCTAAATGCCTTAATTGTAAAAACATGATTCAGTAGTCATCACTGCTTTTTGACTGCTGAAAGCTTACAAAATTCTTGTGTGGCTTTAGATGAAAATTCAGCCTTTCCAAAAATAATAAGTAAATTTTTAAGTCATCGCCTTGAATATTACAATTTTATTGAAATTTGTAACCAAATGCTGTTTTGTTGTAATGGCCAAAATCTTGAAAATGAAGTTCTAACTTCAAACATTTAATGAATTGAAAACTGGTTAAATCAATGATTTTCTATAATTTGAAGAAGAAGAAGAAAAAAAAAATCGAAGCAAATGTTAAAAAAGAAAACTTTCAAAATTAAGTTGCTAATTTAAGGTTGCAGCTTACTTTTGAAACATTTTTTAATAATTAGCTAATTTTTTGATTGTCTACATTTAATATGCACTTAGTAAAATGTAAATGTTTCTAAGCTTTCCCTTTTAGTTTATTATTTAAGTGAATTGTATAACTAAGTACTTACAACAGGAAATGTGAGTTATGGTTTCAGAGCCTTATAGATAAGATAACTTGTGAAATGTGCAAGTTCTACGAAAAGTAATGATTTGGCTCATGAAATAATACATATTTATTCACTTAAAATGCATCGCAGTGCAGAACGTGTACTTGCAGTGAAGGAAAAGATGGAATTGATATTGCTGGCAACAGACATTTGGAGATATGTGCCTACACCTTGCTTATGTACAGAACAAAGCCGTTGGTCTGTGTTACCGTGGCCTACTCTGAATCTCTCACTCCTCTAAGGTTACAGATCGTAAGTCGTAATAGGTTCAAAGCCCTTCAAAATTGTATTGCTACTCTAGTCTGTGTTGCATGATTTAGCACAAGAGAGTCATTTATGACTTACTCTCCATTAAAATATTCTCTAATATCCTCAGATATTCCTTGCTGATTAGTGCCTGTACTTAACTGGTGTAACATCTCCATAACTGTTACAAAAGTATCAGGTTTTCACAAGTTGTACTAACTCACATGATTGGGTGAGCCTATTGTAGCTTTGGATTTCCTTAACCTAAGGAGCTCAGATTTCTGAACATGTGGCTTGGCCAAGCCAATAGGCCCAAGACAAACCCTGGCCTAACCAATAACATTCTTCGCTCTGTCCTTCTCTCTGCAACATGTTGTCTTATCAAAGTGTGTAGTCAAATTAGTGCATTTTATCTTAATTATTCAACTAATAAACTTAAAACAAAAATTTTCAAACGATTTCAATTTTATGTCTGAGTCAAACCAAATGGGAAAATTTCAACAGCCACAAAATCTTGTCACTTGAGTGGCATATTGCTGGTGTGATGTGATATCCATTATTTAAAAAAAAAAATACTTTTTTGCAGGTGGTGATGAAATCAGCATCTGTAACTGTCAAAAGACACATTCGAGTTACTACACGTAAGTTCTTGTGATTTTTTTATTTTGTTACAATGTTTGATATTGGTACTTGGTAAAAAGTCCAGTTTGATTAAGAGAAATTGCATTAACTGATATGATGTGAACTCTAAAATGTTTATAATGTCAAAGGAATTACTTTTAAATAATCCTAATGGTTATTTTTGTTAGTTCTGCATGCCTCACTGTGTATGAAACTTCACAAAATTACTAGCATCAAACCAAAATTATATCGTATAAATTATCTACAATCCAATTTTGACCAGTTGGATTTCATATCTACATAAATAGATAAATAATTGATTTCGAAAATAGTGTTCAAAAATAAATATATTTAGTAGGAATTGAGGTTTTTAACTATGTAAATTGTAAATTTAGAATAATAATAATTGCAAAAGCAAGAATGAATTTGTGTTTTGGTGCTACAGAGGATCGTGCAGCACAAACAGAGTTTTGGCCCCTTATTGCCAGTGGCGGTGGGTTTGGCACGCTAGGCAACCTGGGACCTCTGAGCAACTTGAATACTGCAAGCAGCCCCACAGTCAACGCAGGTCCACCTTCAAAGCCTGTTACTACCGCTCCAACCGCTCCGGCCACTCCAGCCACTCCAACAACTCCTGCCGCAGACTCACCAGAGGCGGACTGTGTGGAGTGCCCACAGGCAAGAATTGCGCTTTAACATATTGCTCTGTTTGGACACTGCTATCATTGAAAGAGCCAAACTGCAAAATTTCAGGAAACAGAAAAATAACAAAACAAATGTGTATTAAAAGTAATTTTACTCACTAAAATTGAAATTCTGTTGTTTTCTTTATTGGTAATATCTCACATAAACAGCATTTTAAATGTATTTGAATTTTAGTATACATAATCATTCAAAAATGTAATTTTTCATACAATGAAAACAGTGAATGGTAAAAGCTTCACTTCCAAGAAAAAATTGAATGTGCTCAACATAGACTTTTGTTTTGGAACAGCAATGGGAATAGGCTTTCAGGCACAATAACTCAGCACTTCTCTTCACATAATTTCCAAAGGAACTTGCAAACTGCTGCATCAGTTGGACTAATTTAAAACTAAAAGAATCAAAGCACCATTTGTGGCATATCCAACATTTCTAAAGTCATTCAGCTCACTACATTCAGCTTATAAAATTTGAAAATACATAATTTTGACACTTCTAGTGTTTCCTGCAACTAGACTTCCATTATTGTTTTTATCTTTGCTGTTTGTTATTTGTCATCACCTCAGCGTGATCTTGAAAATCTGTCTTTTTTAGATAAGATTTTAATGCATTTATTTCCTTCATAGCTGCTGTCTTAAGCTCTTCTCCTCTCGTATTCCTCTACATACCAAGCTCCAAATGTAATGTCGATTATTAGGCAGGGTACTTACGTACTCCTCATGCATATTATACAAGATTGCTTTTAAATAGGAAATAACTAATATATAAACATTTTGATTATTTTGACTAGTTAGTAAATAATGAAAGGCAAATTTAATTGAATAATTCTATTAAATGTAGTTCCTTTAAAATTGTAAAGTTGCAGAGAAGGTTTACAATTAATTTCAAGTGGAAGGGCAAAAAAGAAAAATAATCATTTGCCTAAAATTATTATATATGTTGATGAATTGCATTCTTGTACATCTGGTTAGTTTATGAAGTAGTGTTAACCTGTTGAAAATAATTTTGGCAAAGGGTGAGCAATTCTTTGATATTGGAAGCGGTGTGTGAGAACCCAGGCTGTTAAATTGACATGTGTTTCTATAGGCTTCAAGAAAGTTCCGGTGCCGTTGCGGCAAGGCCTTTGCCCGCTCTGATCATCTGAAACAACACGCTCAGACGCATGCTGGACGCAAGCAGTTCGCCTGCAACCTCTGCAACAAGGCTTTCTGCCGAAGTGACATCCTGAATGCCCATCTACGCTGGCACTGGGGCGACACTCCATACTCCTGTGAGGTATGCCAAAGACGAACAGAACAAAAGCTTATGAGCTTAGCAGAGAACTCTACAGCTAATTAAGTTATGAATTTCAAAGTTCCTTACTGACTCATTCACTAAAATTCAATTAATCTATTTAATTGGCTTTAAAAGTTAGGATGATTTCTTTCAACAACAACAAGAAAAATAAAACATAATTAAAATGTGATGTTTTTTTTCCAGAAGTTGTAACATTTATCTATGACGTGTTCCATCTCGTGGTAGTCTACCAACATGATTTCGCCAAAACACCTGTTGTCTTCAAATTTCTTGTTCCCTAATTATTGCTTTGTGACAGCTTAAAATTTTTTCAGTAGCCCTAGCTTGATGTAAAGGATGGAAGATAGACATTTCAGGGTGCGGGAAGATTTGTATGAAATTTTGATGACTTGCTCTCGGTTATCGTACAGACCAATTAGACATTTGACCCAGTTTTAAAAAAAATACATTTATTTTTTTGAACTGGCTCAAATGTCTGATGACTCAAAACAGCAGTATTTTGTGTGAACCAGCTGAATTGTCATAAGAATATAATATATTGTTTATTGAGTATATAACAATCTGCTGCCTGTGTTCATTTACATCATGTTTCTAGATATGCCCATTTTGAAAATTGTGCATTCATTGCTCAGAACAACTCCAGGTGAAAGTAAACGCTATGGACACAAATGAACATTGTTCACAGTACTGTAAGAAAACCAATGATGAGTCAAAAGATGGGTTGTAGTTGTTTACATATTGAATAACTTTACTTTACATCTGATTACTTCATTAAATAACTGTTCTTGACAACTGATCGCTTTAGAGGGTAAAACAAGAGTTCCACCTTTCAGGCTGACTGTTTGATGGGGGAACCAGTTCTTACTTTCAAAGCATCAAAACATCAAAAATATTCAATAATGTACTTAAAAACTTCCAATCCAAACTCAAGAGAAAAACGTAAAGGACAAAATTTTTGGATTTGTAAAAAGTTTTGGAAAAAGTCTTAAGTTGGGTATTTTCTTCTGTCTTGTTGACCAGTGATAGTAGCAAATTTATAATTTGTTTTAATTATTTTTTAAACAAAACCTTTTTCTCTGAAATTCATCACACATTATAATTCAATGCTTACTGTTTTAGTTGCATAATTCGATAATATACTGAAATAGTTATTTTGTGAAACTCCTCTGATATACTTATTAGTCAGTCACATTTCAGGAAACATGTTATATCTACCAAATCAACTTTGGACGTACAGGTATGAGAAATAAAATATGAAAAATAAATGGATTTATTTTTTCTTTGCAAGTATATAAGATGGCTGTATTATTTAATTTTCTATCTGTTTGTAAACAAGTTAAGTTGTCAGTGGAAATTTAGAATGCGTTTATGCAATGGTTGCTTGTGTTGCAGGTATGTGGGGCAGTGTTTGTACAAGCCAGTCGCCTGAGCCGCCATCGTCTCATTCATCTGGTGCACAAACCATTTCCATGCGATGTTTGTGGGGCATCCTTTGCTCGTGCCGACAATCTGGCTTCGCATATTCGCACCCACACTGGGGAGAAACCATTTCCCTGCCCAGATTGCGGGTCCGCTTTCCGGCGAGCTGATGCACTCCAGCGCCATCGCAGAACTCACACCGGTGAGAGGCCGTACGGCTGTAGAGTCTGCGGTCGTGGATTTGCTGCTGCAAGAGCACTGCGGAGGCACGAGCGCCAGCATGCTGGTCCAGACGGCCACACTGAGGGTGATGGTGTGAACACTGATCAAGGCACCTACACCGGCCGCTCCCGTGCTGGGGTTTACGCTAACACTCGGGCCAGTGTGTACCCTAAGAATAACAGTGGGCAGAATGCAGGCTCCAACCTTGACACAGATGGAAACACAAATTCTGGTGGGTACGCAACACGTGCTCGTAGCAGCACTCAGAACACCAAACAAGAACAGAACGTGCACTCAAACTCTCAAGACACCAGCAGTGGTAACACAGTTGCTAGTAGTAATGATGACAACACTAATTCAGTTAATAACTCTGATCCCACTGCTGTTGGTCATTCTATGGAAAATTCCAGTAATAGCGTAAACAATGTGTCAAACACTGATGGTGGAATTCCTAACAGCGACTCTTCAGTTGACATGAATACTGCTGGAAATAACAGTGTTAATGTTTCAAATACCAATCTGGTTTCTAATATGAATACAGTTGGTGGAACCAACTCTGAGATTTCAAACTTAAGCCCGGTTGCTGGTATTAATTCTACTCCAAACACGAATATTTGTGTTTCTAATTCTAGCCCGGTTCCAAATATAAATACAGTTGTAAATCCAAATACAGTTCCCAACTCCAGTGCCATTGCTGATGTGACCACAGTGTCCACCACCAGTAGTAGTGTTTGCCACACTGTTCCCACTATGAACACACTAAGTCATGCAAACAACAGTATTATTCCCAACATGAACAACAATGGCAGTATGAATTCACACAACATATCTAATCATTATTCCCAAATGAACAGCTATAGTGATCCCGTCAACTCCAGTCACAGCATTCATGCTCAGAATAGCCCTGATCTTCACTCTGCAGCACAGCAGTCCCCACATGCCAACATGCTTCCTGCGACCAACCCTGGCGCACATTCCAACTCCGTGGTGGATCCTCACATGCCAATGAACACCCACCCCCATCACGACAACCAGACCTATCCTACCAGTTACCAAACTAACCCCAATCCTCATTCCGGCATCCCCACTGGCAGTGCTGTTATTGCCAATCCCAACCCCCACGCTCACCATGATAACGTAGGCCACCACCACTCTGGCATTCACACCGCATCTGATCCTCATGCAGCGAGAGGCACTCACAGCCCCCACACTTACATCACCATTTCATAATGACGTCATGTCGTGTTTTTAATTTTTTTTTTTTATATCTGGGAGTGTGATGCACGTTCAACTGATCTTAAACTATAACGATGAATATAATACTGACCTGGGAATGGCAAGAAATGCAGACGTGGATTTTTCACATTCAGGACGTCTTCTTCAGGAAGTAAGGGTGAAATTCACTTCTAGTTACAATTATACCGTCTTGTGTAGGGTACAGTTATGCACTGTTTTCAATTCTACTTATGGTGAACACTAGTATTGAAAGGAACAGGTCATTAAATCACTGCCACAATGTTGTGCAATCGCAGAATGGATCTAGGTAAATGCAGGTTGAACACTCACTGGGCACTGCAGCCCAAGTGTGACTAGTAGTTTTGACTATTGTCATAGGTGTGAACAGAGTTCTTCCGTTGGCAATGACCTTTTGTGACACAATTCTTCGTAACTTGTCTTGGAACTGGAAATTTCTCCAGCCATAGGCACCAGTTTAACACATTTTACCACAATGATGATATGGAAAAATCAATCTTAATTTGATCTCAGTGCTTTGTTTGAAGCTGTACCTATTCTTTCCTTGGGTACATGTGTGTATGTTTTGAATGTGGATTTGTAGCAGAATGTAATGGAACCTAATTAGTCAAGACTTATGACAAAAGAGACTCAACACAATGTTTTACAAAAACTTTTTTTTAAACAAGGAAAGGTAGTTTAAAATCACAGATACGGTAGATTTTTGTAAAGCTGTCAACTTTGTGGTGTGTATCCATTAACTTAATTGCTCTCTATTTTATTTATTTATTTTTCTATTAAGAAACCTATATGAATTTTGTAGATAACTATTGCTCTTTGTTCTCAGACAAGCCTTATATTTTTTCTCATGTGACCCATTTTTAAAATGTGTTATAACAGTATTTTTCATTTTTAATTTTGTTGTAGTATGTATATTTTTTATATTCATTTTACAATAATTTTAGTTTTTCATTGAAAGAACTATTTTACGTGTAAGAGGTTGAATAACATTTTTTACTGCATCAATGAATCATCCACAAACATGTAATTTAAAACTATTCAGTAATTGTGTTCGAGGTTTTTTATTGAGAGTCTCCTTTTATGCTGGCTGAATTCATGTATGTTCATATTTGTATGAACTTTGAAGTATTTTCCTTTTTTCTCTTATTTGAGATTCAAACAACTTTTGGCATTCACTGCTATCAAGCAATTGAAGAGGCATTGCTTGAATGTTATCCTTTTGCTGCTACACACTTGCGCTAAGAGATGCAATTAATGCACTCTATCCCTCTCTCTCTCTCCCCCCCCCCCCCCCCAGTTTAGTGAACAAGCAATAGCTTGCAAGCATACTAGCTCTCTAACCATGCTTTTGCTTTCATAGCAAATAAACTGTATTTATCCAGATATAAGGCAAGTTTTTTCTAAATATCTCGTGTAAAATATAAAAGGTTGTCTTATAATTGCGGATTATATTTGGTTGGGATCTGTGCTTTTATGTTGCCTTTCTATGTCAAGAAACTCAAATGCTGATGCTCTCTCTGTGAAATACCATGCATATGTATAATACATAATATTTGTGGAAATGTTCTTGGCATTTCCCACTAATTTGTTGGGCAAAAGTGAATAAGGCAACGTAGAATGGAGAACTATCATGAAAGAAACAATGAAATATTTGATGGTAGTACAAAACCAGTGATTATTATTTTTATAATGAATAAGAAAATACTGCAATTTTCTGGTCAATATGACTTGTCGTGGTTTCATTTTGACTGAATTCTAAGAATTTGTTTAAAATAAAAAAAATAAAAAAATTGGAGGCCTCTTCACAATAGGGGTTCTCTTTACAAGCAGAATTGTCTTATATTTGGATAAGTACAGAAATTCAAAAGCAGTACGTAGGGCCCCTGCACATGAGTGTTGTATTTACATGTGATAAATAACATGCATCATAGAATAACACTGTATCTTACGTGAAATAGTACACATGCACTTTGGCTGTTCCGCATAAGATACAGAGTTAATCTATGATGCGTGTTACTTATTGCGTGTCAATGTAATGCTCGTGTGACACAGGCCTTACATACAGTGAAAGACACCAAAAGGTGGTTCTTTCTAATGGTTTTAAGGAACTGCCAATGCTCCCAGGTACCAGGTAAATTTAAGTCTAAAGTAGCAAAAGAAAAGATGTTCAATGTTCACAAATTATAAAACATTTGTGAATGAGTAAATGAACTTGACTAAGGGATTATTTCGGAGCCTGTAAGGGAATTACTGCAACTTTTCTAGGGAAAATTCCATTGAAGAATTTTTTAAAAGATATCAAGAAGAAAAGTGTCAGTGCCCATAGTGATGCATATAGTTCATATTTTTCATGTTATTCATTTTGTAATAAAGTGATGTTTTGTTCAAAAGTTCTATTAACAACTGTGATTTTGACATCTTAATTTAGTTTTATTCTGTAGCTGTGCTTACTTTGATTAGACTGGTACTGCATTGTACACACAACCATGGAGATGCAGAATTTTAATCATTTGTTATTGTTAAATGAAGTCATTTGTTGTTGTAGATTGAGATAGCCACAATGTGTGAAAGTAGTTTTTCAGAAACTTGTTAATCTTTCAGCTTCAGTGAGAATTCCGTCAAGTACTTGGATGTAGAAATAGAGATTACACTTTGCCACAAATGTGAGGAGATAATGCAATTAGTGCAAGGATACCTAGTTTAATTTCAGAATTTTGTTATATCTTTTGATCCATTTAAATCGTACTTTCTTTGTCATTGTCAGATTCCATGATCATGGTTTTATTGAAAATATGTTTACATGGGAGACTGATCACTTTTCTTCTCTTCAATCAGGTCAGGCACTCCAAAACATTGACCAACAAAATGTTTCTGTTAGAATATGGAAATTCATTATTGCGTAAATGCTGTTTACTTTTCTTTGGCACCATATGATGTATAAACTGTTACGCCATTGCTAAGAATGTGGTAGTGATTTCCTTGTGGATGGCTTTGATGGTCCCTTAGAAGGCCACTGGACCAGTAGCTTTCAATAATTATAACTTATGGTGGTTAGAGCAAGATATTCTCTAGAGAATCCATATTGCATTAGATATGCTATTTATTTAGGAGATAAGTAGCTTTTATGAAACTTTTATAAACAAAATAGGAACTTGTAGGGCAAGTTTTATTTAATTACACAAATTAATTTAGTTTAATTTGTGGAAAATAAAATATTTTCGTACAACATAAAAACCCACCGTTGATTGGTTTCTTTACTAATTTACTTACAACACTGTAAGTTGAGACAGTTTATAAAAAGTAACATGTTAGAAATTTATTTTTAAGGTTTTTAAAGTGATCACTAATAATGGCAAAAACTTCCTGGTCCAAGTTGAGTGAAAAAGCATTGGCAAATTGCGCAAGCCTTGAGATAGGTATTATTGCTTGGTGCTCATGCTTTTCTTGCTTCTCATAGTTTCCTTATTTTGAATACTTTGTCATATGGCCAAGATGTATATTTCTAAAGCGCTTCTGGTAAAATGAAATGACTGATCATCTAAAGAGCCTGTGATGGAATTACTGCATGATCCTAATAGAATCTAGGATGATAGGGTCATGATCGTAAAGAGCTGTAATATGTAATATCTCATTAATAAAGTAATAACTACATTATTGGAGAGAAAATCTTCAAGCACTGTGACAGTCTTTTGACATTCTTTGTGTCGGAGATAAAAAAAAAAGCAATTTGCAGGTTTTGTTGCAGCCAAAGTGATATTCTTCTTTATTTCTTTGTGTGAATTTGTCGTGGGTTTATCAGTTGAAAATGGGTAAAGGCTGCAATTTTGTTGAGATATGTGGACCAGAATTGTTATTCAATGAATTCAACAAATTTGAATGCATAAAGTCAAAAATTCAACACTAAATAACTCTTGCATTCGGTTGTGAACACTTCAGAGAACAATTTTCTTAAAAGTTGAAGAAAAATTATGGGGTTGTTAAGTTTTTGTATTGTTCTAATTAAAAGGTTGAGTTAGATATACATACGGTGAAACAACAGGTAAAGGGTTAATTTGCCTTCTGTCTACAATTATAACAACAATAGGGACTTGCAATAACCAAAATAAAATTGCATTAGAAAGCAGTATGTTTGTTAAAGTGATATAAAAGCTGCTATTAAAAACTGTCTATAATTAATGAATTATTTTATATAATTTTAAAATCTTCAATTCTGTTTATAAACAACATTGAAAATTGCTGGTCTAGTGGGATATGTGTAATTTTACTTATATGAATTGTGAAGATTTTAGTAGTCGTTTCTAGTCTAATCCTAAACTGCCAATAATACTCTTTAAACAGTTTCCAAATGATTTGATGCTTTTATGTATTTCTTAAGTGATTGTGATTATGGTCATTATTAAGATACTTAAGTTAGTAGTCAAAGCAGAGTCCTCCATAAATAAACTATCAAAAGAAACAAAAATAACTATTTATGCTTGTAATCAAACCTGTAAATATTAGCATACAATTTTGTTTTCTTTCATGTATGTAGTTAACTCTTTGTGCACATTATGCTTTTAATAGTAATGATACTTGTACAAAAGATGATCTGGTTGGGAAAAGGTTTTTTTTTTTAAACCAGTAATTCACTAATCCAAATTGCTTGAATGATTACCATTAGGATTTCTACCAATTTGGCCCAAAATGGAAGAAGGAACAACTGTATTTCACAAATTGGGTCAGAACTAAAAAAAATGCATGAAAGGGTATTCATAAAATTCATCATCATATCAAGTTTCATTGAACTGAACCTTTAAGTAGGATACAGAAATAGATGGCATAAATTGTAAAGATTATATATTTTTTAGATCCGCTAGGCATATAAATTTTTAATGTAATAAACTTTGTTCTTGTCTGAAAGAAAATTTTTAAGAAAGTAAATGTATAACAACTTTGATAGTGGTTTTTGAAATAATGATTCTGGATGATATGTCTACTAACTTAAGAATCATAAAATAATCTGATTAGTCGACTAATGTTACTGGATACATCCATTCCACCACTCTCATTTTAATGTCTTTAATTTTTATTATCATAATTTACAAGTAAACATGACTCACTGTTTAATTGATATGCTGTTTGAGATGGCTAGTTGAAGTATAATTGAAATTTTAGAACTCAATTTTTGTGTTCTAAGTTGAAAAATTAGTAATGGTTAGTAGGACATTGTTGAAGTTAAAAATCTTGAATACTCATTGAAAGAAGTGTTTTTGTTTATTTTATTTTTTTATTTTTAAAGAGAAAATTGTTGTGACTTTATGATAACATATTTCTGTGGTACAATACATATGCCACTCTGTCAAGTAATTCACTTCTGAAACTTTTTATCTTTTATAACACACAGAAAATGATGTTGATATTTACATCTTTGTAATTTATAAAAATTTAAGAACAACATGAATTAGTACAGTGTGATCCCTTATAGTTTTATTTGTTAGAATCAGAATATGTGTATACATTCCTGGAATATTGATCTCGTGACTTGATACAGTAGTATGATGACATTTTTCCGTTTTTTGTGGGATGTTCTGTGATGTCTATTTTTAAAGCTATATGTGATTTCCTGAAGTGTAAATTTCCACAATTGCTACTATTCCTTCCTTAGTGTTTTCATATCAAATTGACACGCTGGAGGCCCTTGTTAAGCTTTGCCTTGTCTTCTGTTGTTTTTTTTTGTCAACTACGAGGTTGCTCTTTTTGATAGGACTGTATTCCCCATTTGAAATTGTGAAGTGGAATTCATGTCTTCATTATAGTAATGTTAGTGGTAGTTACAACATTCATTGTTATCTACTTGTGGAAAATGTGTTTTTGATTTGTTGAGCAGGGGAACAGAGAAATAATTTTCTTACTCATTGATGATCTCATCTGTGTGCGCTTCTAAATAACTCGAGCAGAACAGTTGTGACATGAAAAAAACGTGTTGCAGTTTATTTGGGCTTTCAACAGAATGGTAGAATTAAGATTTCACATGAGAAAACATGCTGTTGCCCATCTTGCCAGTTTGTAAAAAGTATAAGTGGATATCAAAAATGCAGGATTCCAATCTCAGTTTGAGTTTAATAATACCTACCTGCAAAGTCATAGAGTATTAAATTTAAATGAAAACTAATGAAATACAACTTCAAGTGGTTGTGTTTTTGTGGTGTATGCATAAAATATATCAGACAAGAATGTAGTTTTTGAGGATCAGTGCAGTCAAGTACATCAATAGTAGGCTAGACATTGTGTGAAATTCTTGTATTGAATAATTGTACTGAGCCATTAATTTTTTAATGTGAAAATGAAAAAGAAATGTTATATCTGTCCTAGTATTGTAAGTGTCATGATATTATTTATTTGTGAAATTCCTTGCTTAACTTGTTAAGAGGCTAAAGTGCTTGCCTTTAATGCGATTGATTGTGAAATGAGTTTTGGAAAATAATTTTAGCTGTTAAGCAATTTTTTTATGTGGAACAATATAGAGGTACCAAAATTATTTTAAGCTTACATCTGATGTCAAGAGTTCTGTATGGTCTGAGTTTATAACTTTTAATATTTTTATAAGTTTGTATAATTTTACCTATTTTTGTTATAATAAGGAAGAAGTGTTGTCTAGATAGTCCAAACAAATTTATTCAGAGTTGTAAGGATATAGAAGTGTTTTTAATGACATATTATTTTGCTTCAGAAAAGAAAATGTACTTTAATATTCAAAATGAAATTTTTAATTCATTTAAAAAATTATTTTGTTTGCTCTTGAAATCAGAACTGGAATCATCACCTAAACTGTTTTATTAATCTAACAGATGGATTTCTATTTTATATTTCTTGTAATATTTTTCTCACATTGCATTTTCATACCAATGTTTTAATTTTATAACTCTTATTTTGATGGCTGTAAATTTTATATTTTCTTATGACTTACGTGTGTATCAAGGAAGCAAAATGCATTAGTTATGAATTTGCAGTAATGAAAACACTTGGATTTTCTGTATCAAATTATCAAATAATAAGTTGCATTCATTCCATTCCTTAATTTTATGGTAAAATATTACTTCATTCAAAGTTATAGTTGTTTTGCAAAAGAATTCTGTGATATAAAGGAGCACATTCACAGTAAAATTGAACGTGTTTGTTAATATACGTAAATGTTTCTTATTGCAGTAGCAACTAGTGTGTGGCAGGTATAGCATTTACCATTGTCACTTGAAGCAGAATATCTAAAGTAATTGATGTATCAGATGGGTTCTGACAAATTTGCCCAGATATCTTCAGCTCTTGTTCGTTGTATCTCTCGAACATTTCCCGAAGCATTTTTATACCAAGTTTTCCTGTTACTGTCACATAATTGAAAACTGCCAGTGTACTGAAAGGGTTCATTTACAATTTATAGCTAAAATAATAGTAATTGGATAGTCTTCCTCTGTGTTATTTCCATTACACAAAAGCGCAAAAAAATCATTGTTCATATTTATTAGAGAGACAATTCCATGTAAGTGTTATTACATGTATATATAATATATAATTGTAGAGCTTAAGCAGGTTGTGCATTTTAGCTTAGGCATGTATAAGACATTCCATAAAATGTCAGATGTAATCTTAAGAGATCCTTGGTTAAGAAACCAATGCTTCATTCACATACCACTCAGATATTGCATAGTTGGCAAGTCTTGGCCTTTTATTAGTTTTAGCAACAGAGAAGTTATTTATTTTTTTATTTATTCATTGTGGGAACAAGGTGAGTTCCTACAGAGGAGCATGTTGTGTCTTCTTTGAGTCATGTACACACAAATAAGTCGATGAACATAGTACTGTATATATCAGTAATCCAACTTGTGCAAGTGGAGTACATTTTTTAGACATTTGTTTTATATTGATAATAAACAGAATGTGTCTGGTCTTATTTGAGTTTTATTGCAAAGCAATCCTTTCAACTCTGTAACCTTATAAGTTTCTTAAATAAGAATTTTCATATAATTTTGTATTGTGTGTGTTTATATACCGACACACACACACACACACACACATCCTTACCTGGTTGTATTAGGGTCCCATGCTTTTGGGTGACAATTATATCACGCCCGGAAGGGGGGGGGGGTCCTCCGGGCCATTCCCTATATTCTGCTCTAGGTCTACGGTGGGATGAGAGGGGGCAATGAGATCAGGGCACGCTGCAGTTTTATTGAGCGGTGTTACATGGGCATCGGCACCTGCCGTAGCCCATCTTCGGCAGTCCTTCAGAAGAGCGACTTTGCAGTTGCCATCGGACGTGTCGACGATAGTTGGAGTGTGACGGGAACCTGTTAGCAGGATCCCGGACGGTCGAACTGAACTGTCGGGGCATGGGAACGCCGATCTGAACCGTAGATGTCTGCAGGGCCTCCCCTCGCCCCTGTACTTGGGGTTTTTATTTCTTGTCGCGCGAGGACCTATCACGGTGGAAAATCTCACAGCATCTCACGTTTTTCTCGGCCGTGGTGCCAGATGCCGCATGATCGCCAGCACCGAGAAAGAGGCGAAATACTGTGAGATTTTCCATCGTGACAGGTCCTCGCGCGACAAGAAATAAAAAACCAAGTATAGAAGTGAAGGGAGTTCGGCGGGGCCGATCTAATCCTACGGAGAAGCGGAATATTCGTACCCGGGGGACGCACGAGCTAGCACGTCCCCTTTTTTACTCCCCTACAAAAAATTTTATTTCACTAGTTTTCTCAAACACTGGTAGTTCCAAATGTTTATCAATTCACAGCATCTAAAGGAAATGAACACTCGTGAACTTCAGAAAACTCATCAATAAAATAATTCGCGTCATTACTCTCGATATCATTTTCATTGCTCAAACTAGACAACAGTCCAGAAATAAAATCATCAGAAGAATCCAATTCTGATCCATTATTCAAAAACTCTTGAACTTCTAATATTGAGAATCGCTGTAAATCCATGCCTTCTAAATATCTGTTGTTTACGTCGCTAATAGCACGAAAACAAAGAACGACGTTCCGAACGTAATCGATAAAGCCCACAAGTACGAATATCCAACCGCTTATTGGGAAAATTGTAAATACTTGCAAAAACAGTAGCACACAACCGCGTTTGTCCCGCGACCATCTTAATATTAAAATGTGTATTCTAGCTGCCTACTATTCTCCGAGAAATGTTTATAGTCTGTCAAAGACGATGAATGTAGAAGAACGTATGACACACGTCCATAGTACACAGCAGTAAAATTGAAATGTATCAGATACGACCTCAGAATCGAAAGAATTAAAAGGTCACAGGAAATCCTCAATAACCTTTTCAAAAACTTGTCACCTCAGGGATCTTCTCTTCGCATTTTTCGTTTTCGTTCGCAGTTCTTTGCGTATTCTTCAATATCTAAGTCAATTTTTAGCCACCAAAAATATTTCTTCGCAATAGCCTTCGCTCGATAAAATAAATAGAGCGTAATGGAAATTTCCGCGTTTTGGGGTCTGGAAGTTTCACCGATCCACTGGAACGATTGGATCTTTGTTTAAACCATCTTCAAAACGTCCATGCCACTTGAAACATGCCGGACGCTTCATAACAAAATCGCCATAAGCCGTGTTAAACAAAGCGAATGTCTCTGTTACAGATTTTCCAAGTTTAACTCAAAATTTCACAAGTTGTTGCTCCTTGAGGTCATTCATTGTGAAATCCGCCAAACGAAAAACTCACACTGCACACTAAACCACATAGCTAATAAACAAATGAACACAACACATGTCAACAAAGATGGCGTCATAATCAACAAATCTAGTAAATTCCCCTGGAATCAAACGGTGAGGCAGAAATCAAACAGTTCGGGTATTTTTTGAATATACTGTATGTTCATTGAAACTAGATCTTTAATTAATAACATTTTGTTAATAAAAATATTAGTGGTTTTCACGTAATTTTGAATAAGAAAATTTTTTGCCTTTGCACCACCCTCTTCTGCAAAACCAATGGTACCGCACAGACTTTCTCGCACTAGTTAGTTTTCTAATGACGTGCATTCAACCCCAGGACGGCTGGGGTAAGCAAAAATGAGAATTTGATGAATTTTGAGAATTAAATTACAATGAATTCTATGTCACAAGATCAAAAACACATTGCACCCACTGTACACTTCACTGCGATCTGTGCAGCGACCTACTGCTTGTGCAGTGCTCTAACAAACCCCAGGTCTAGCATCTTCGCTGGGCGTGGGTGTTGCGCGCGCGTCTACCTCACTGGGCCTGAGGCAGGCTGCGATCGGAGAGAAGTCGTAGCCGCTATGCACTGAACTCTAGCTATTCTAGCTGGGGATGGATGATGTTTCACCCCCTCCCGCTACTTCAAGGCCAGCCTTGCCGGTCTCGTCGTGTCTGCGAACGTGACTACTCTTAAGCCAGTGCTAACACAATGCAAAATTATTCTAAAAGGAATGTTTTGTTAGCATAAATTAACGTACCGTTTGTCGAGAAGTTTATAACTTTTAAAATGATTATGGGGCACACATTTCTCTCTCAATGTAATGAGAGTGAACCAGAATATTCAGTAGAGATTTTGTTCTTTTTTTCTGAGGAAGTAAGTTTTGACTCACATGGGATCAGATCCCTAGAATTCGTGAATAGCACAGCGTTTTCTAGAGAATCAATGTGCGTGTCATGGCAGAGCGATACGCAGTGGCGGTCCATTGTAGTGTGTGGCGTCGTCGGGTGCGAGAAACACACAGACACGGAGTTTTTGTACAGATTTATTCACAAGTTTTATGCACTATCTACACTCCTCGGAAACAAGCACTGCACTCCCAGTACTGCACATCTCTGAGGCATCCCCGCCCGTCTGACGCAGACCCCAGCGGCTTGGCGCCGCTCCTGTTCTCGTAACGTGCCACAGCTCTCAGCCGAAGCTCGCGATAACCCCTGGCGGGTGAAAAGTGCCTTCTGCACCGCGAATCCGTTCGACAACGAATGACCACGGCTGGTTACTCTCCAGCCGCCTCGCGAGGGGTCACGTGACAGACCTCCCATGCCGGCGGTGTCCTCTCATCCCGAAACGCGGGCCTGTTTGCAATTTTCGAGTCCAGCTGCACCACGCTGGACTCACCCATCATCTCCCTCTGCGCCAGTTCCGAGACACGCCCACCCCGGCCCTTGAGGAGGGCCTGCGTCTGGTGGCCTTCCCCTTGCCGCCAAAGGACTGCCCCCGCCCCCTCGCTGGCCTTCCGACATGTGTGGTCCATCTGGCCCATTGACACGACGTCACAAGTGTTTGCGACGTGTTGTCGTGTTTACTCGTTATTTTTGTGAGCATTTGTAGTGACTTTGCAGTGCAGTAAAAATGATTTGTCTAACGAGTATCAGTAATTATTATGTGTAGTATATCTTCTAGTGACGGGTATAATTGATGATATTTTGAGGAGACCATTTTCAACGAGATTATTCCACAAAAAGGTTTGGACAATTGAAAATGGTAGGCCAACGCAGCATTGGCACAATTACGGTATACAACAAAAAAATGGGATAGGAGGGCGAGGAAGGGAAGCAGAGTATAAAAAGTAATCACTGCGTCCCCTGGACTTTAGACTACGCTACCTTTCCGGTTTTGCATCATCCTCTCCTCAGCGTCGATATAATTGATGATATTTTGAGGATATCTTTTTCAACAATGAGACATATCGGTTAGAGGATTATATTGTGTATATTTATCAACTGGATTTATTCACTTTTTCGTTGTCAGGGCCCTGTAATAATAGTTTTTCTACCGAAAATTCCCAGTTTTTTCTTGCAGCATTACATAATGTTCTCTCTACTCCGTAGCGAAATATCGATGCGACGATGTTGCGAAATTTCTATTAACCTTTGCGGATTGCTTAAGTAGAAATATATCAGGGAAAATCTCTATCTTCAATTTTGTAATTTTCTACCTTTTTTACAATTTTCTAAAAACTCTCATTACATAGGTGAAAACAATTAAAGAAAACATTTCGAGCGGTTTTGAGAAAAAATATTCGTACATTTTAAGCAAAAATTACCCCCAAACTACTCTTTAAAAAAAACGTTCATGACATTTTTAAAGAGCTAATTCTTTACAATAGACTTTGTCGGAGGCAAAAATCTCTATATTCTCCAGTCGATCTGGTTGATTTCTTTCTTGGGGGAGGGGGATGCTTTACATGAAGCCCTTGGGACATTTTCCAAATTTTCAAAAAAATGGCTGCACCGTTTTTAGTTCCTTTTTCAATTTTTGAAAGATCGGGAATGTAATCGAAAATAAGACTTGCACCATTCTCTTAAATGTCCCTTGCACTATTAAACAACAAAATTAAATCACAAAAATTGGAGTCATTTTTTTTTAAATTTCGGAAATGTTTCAGGGACTTTATGTAAAGTACACCCCCCAAAAAATTAAAATATCGGTTTCAAATCCCAGGGACCGCGACATCAGGTAAAACGATTGGGGAATATCAATTTTGGAAACATTCGGCCGAACAATTTATGCGCTAGCGTTGTACACAGACGGACGGACGTACAGACGTTTTGCCGTCGATTTTTCGGTATGAAGGACGCACAAAACATGGATTCTGGCTACACCACGTGTTACAGAATTTTTTCTTCTAAATTTAGCAATTGGATTTGTCTCCTTTTTCGTTACCAGGGCCCGGCAATAACAGTTTTTGTGTCGTCGTTTTACGGCGCACGATTACAATACTTTCTCTTCTTACGTTAGTTAAGTGTGAGAAAATAAAAATTGAAAGCATTTTTCAGTGTTTCAATTTTACATAATTCAAACAAATAATGTAAACATATATGTTTAAGTAAGAATAATTGATTTATAATTACAGTGAAAAGGACTGCAGATCAAATTGTTTAAATTTTTTATTGAATTGTGCAATATAAAATTGAAACGAATCAACCAGCAAAATTTAATATTAAAAATATTATTCAATGATGAGCGAAATATCATTATATTATGCCAGTATGCCAAATTTTTGCGTATAATTTAATCATACATCACTTCTTATAAATTTTTCTTTTCTTTTGTTTTTAAATAGTATACATTAGGGACAGTCTTATACATTAGGGACCAGAGAGTATATTATTGGTTAGGGACCCAGTCCTTTGGAGTCATTCCGGTCCGTACATTAACACAGCACTGAATGTGTATCTTTTTTTATTTGCAATCAAAACGACTATTTTAAAATAAATAGCTTCTTTAAGTGTAATGAAATTACAAATTTTTTGATACAAGAAATTAGTGAAAATTAAAAAACGTCGGTTAATATTAAGCGAAAATTGTTTATACATCTTTATGAATTTTCCATATTTGAAAGTATTTTAAATTCCCCGATAGAAAGTGCTCCCAGTCTTATTCAATATGGGGTGTTCTACTTACTACCTCTATGGTATGGGCGGATATGGGGTTCCGCAGGCGCAGGCAGGGCGCAGGACACACTATTCTGGCTTGGAGTATACGACTGTCAATCCAGTAATAAGTAGCAAACTTTATATTTAGAATCTGAATTTTGTGTTAATTTCTCTTTGTTATGACACAGCCATGGTGTATTCTTTACACCGTGGACATAGCTCTCTCGGAAAAGTGAACATCGCATTGCGCACTTCTATGTCTCCGTGAGACGAGAACCGCGTGGTAGCGTGTTCTGTGGAATCGGGAATACCAGGGAATACTAGAGGTCATACAATTACAAACCAACAAACTGCGTGTGGGTGCTCTGTGCCGAAGAAGGTGGAGGAGGCAAGAAAACCCAACTGTTGAAAGAAGTCAGGTGTGTGTTATGGGTTGAGAAAAGTGTTACAAGCTATTTGAGCAGCAACATTCTGCAGGAGGGCGTTGTGTGTTCTTTAATACGTTGTAATTAATAATTTATTGGAATCTACAGCCATGGCCAAGGGACTGCATGACTTACTGTCGAATCGACACAAGTTCGCCCCCCAGAATGAAAATCTGCAACGTAAATTTCAAGAGCGAACTTCTGTACCTTCAAAGGACCTGAAGGAACTAGAAGTCAATGTGAAAAGTGTTCTAATAGCAGCAGGTAAATCGTTGCGAGTTAGTGAACTTGAAGAAGAATACAAAGTTTTTTTCAGGTCAGGGATTCCATTTCGGGATTTCGGTACCTTCAGTACCTTAGAGCTACTGAAAAGAATCCCAGAAGCATGTGAAATCGGCAATGAATCAAGTAACGATCCTCTTGTTACTGTAAAGAGTTCACGAAAAAGTGCTCACATTATTAATTTAGTTAAAAAAAACAAAACAAAACCCAAAACACTACCTGTTAAGAGTGTCCCTCAGAAGGATGTATTTGTGCCATTCACTGTTCAAGATGAAATTAGACACATACTGTACTTAAAAAGAAGAGTTAGGAAAGAAGAAATTATGAAGTTGTTATGGGAAAAATTTGATTTAAATTATTTAAATCTTAAAGGGCCAATCGACGAATTGATCCGAAGTCTGCCGCATTTACTGATTAATGATGGTGCATTTGTGAGAAGTGCACATCAGATAAAGAAAGAAGAAGTAGAATTACCAGAAGAACTTTGTATAGAAGGAGCACATTTGTGCCCCAGTTTCAGATTGGGTTATCGTGAATCTCAAATCTCTCAGAATCTTTGTGCCTTACTTGCAGAGAAGAAGCAAATATACGTGATTGATATCCCTCGTCTTTATTTAAAAAAGTTTGGGAAAGAACTTAAATGGCAGCAGTTTGGGTTTGCAGATCTTTGGAGATTTCTGCTACTTTTGCCAGGTGATTTCTTTATGTTCCAATCTGACTCTGGATATGTTGTCACAGAAAATGCTGTTCCTGGAACTGTGGATTGCCGACAATTCCAGGAACAGCATTTGTGTGGTGATGCTGTGTATGAAGAAATTCTAGAAAAAATTAGAAAGTTGGTACTTCATGTGAATACAGGATTAAATTCAAAACATCTAATGTCTGCTTATGAAACACTGTATTGTGAAAAACTGTTAATTAGGACGAATTTTAATCAATTCCTAAGTGAACTTCATAATAAGCTTATTTTTAAAATTAAAGAAATTGGAAATTCATGTGTACTCTTTCCATGTAATATGTATGACATTTTTAGGTTGAAAGAGAAGAAACCTGAAAAACTTGAAAAAGTACATCTGCCGATTGATGTTTTGAAACCTGGAGATTCCTTGAAAAGTGTAAGTTTTGCAAAAGTAATCAATGCCAACAATCAGCAGTTTTGTGCAGCTTTTGTCTCCTTTGTAGAAAGTCCTAATAATTTCTATATAAGAGTTGCTGGAATTAGTGAAGGTGAAATGGAACTGGATGAAGAGTTCAGGGTTTTGACAGGTGATATGAGCAAGTTGTATTCACTTTGTTCCGAAGAATATGATATTCCTGTCAGTGAATTTAAAGTAAAAATGGTATGTGCTGCATGTGTAAAAGGTGAATGGCAAAGAGTGGTAATTTTGGATGTTTTGGATAATACTCGGATATTGGTTAAGTCTGTCGATTATGGCACATATCATAAAGTCACTATGAACAGTTTAAAGTACTTACCGAGAAGGTTTTCAAATCTTCCTAGATTAGCTTACCCAGCAACATTATTCAACATTAAGCCAATGGGAAGTGAATGGGATTATGAAGCAATATTGACATTCAGGAAATTAACAGTAGGAAATAATATGGATCCTAAACCTTTATCTACAATCATCATCCACAGAAGTGAAGAGGGGGTATTGCAGGTTGTGTTATCAGATGAATATCAGGATAAAGTGATCCATCTGGGAGATGAATTGGTTGACTGGGGCTATGCCTCATTTAGGTTTGAAGATGAAATTTTTGGTGCCATGTACTGTTGATACTCATAAAGTTCTAAATACTAAATATTTCCAAAGATATGGAAACATCTTCTAGGGAGATTTATTGGATAGCACTTTTTTTTCGCTGTTGTATTGTGAGTGTGTAATGTACACACTACATTGTTATACAGTATTCATTTCCTAGCACCATCCATTTGTGTCTTTATTTTGTCATTTATGTTGTGAAAAATGTGCCTTATAACACGATTTATATCACAATCAATCAGAGAGAAGTCTTCCTATCTTCACATAGTTTCTGAATTTTTGTTAACCGTTTCAAATGATATTTTGAAAAGGTTAAACATGATTACATAGTACCAATACCATAGGAGATGCGATACTGACAACATTGCTGTGTACAATGTTGTCAATAACGCATCTCCTATGTTCAATAATATGTTACATGATCAGCACACAATAGATTTAAAAAAAGTTGCCAGTATTGATAGTTTTGGTGAAAACTAGAAAACCACAAACTCTTGGGTCTCTGTTGTCCTGTCTTTGTATTGAATAGTGGGAAGTGTTTGTTTAAAAAATAGTGAAAAGGTGAGCCAAAACAAGATTTAAGATTATCAATTAATGGATCGTATTTTTTTTTATTTTTATAAAAGGGGTTGTAATAGAAAGCAAAACTCAGGGAGGGATGTCAGAGTTGGATTCTCTGAGCTGGAGAACAATAATTTCTGTTGGTATTAAACTTCTTGAATTTGACTTTACATTACTGTAATTGATTTAAAAGTATATTAACAAATTATGTATCTAAATTGTATATTAATAATTTTAGATGTAAATTGCTCTTCCACAATCTTATATTGTGCCTTGATATTATTGAGATTTCTCCAGGGTTAGGAAGATTTTCAGGAAACAAGGATTTGTTTTATGATAGTGTCATTGAGGCTAGAATATCCAAAATTCTGTAGACCAGTTGATTAAATTGTTTTTCTGAATTCTCCACTACTTTGTATTTCCAAGAGTGTAATGACTTTCTCCAATGGCATAGGAATCATTGGAAAAAATAACAAAAAATATATGGAACTTGTGTTGAAAGAATTCATATCTCTGATATTAAAACAATTTTTTTAAATTAACTTGTAAACTAGATGCTTACATATTATCTATCATAAGCCAAACCAAAGCCAAATTTGAAAGAGACGAGAAGGAAAATTCTGATTTGAATACAAGCTAGGTAGTTTGACTAAAACTGTAAAGTTTCAAATTACTCATATTCAAAGCAGTTATCCAATGCTTTTATGATTCTAAAATAAATTTTGCTGTACACAATTGTATAGTGCCTTGATAATGATATTTTTGAAGGTATATATGTTTTTTTAGAATTAGAGATTATAGAGAACAATTAGCTTTCTGCATTATGCACTATTGTTAATAGATTTCAATTAAGCGCTAGTGTACTCCAACCCAGATTACAAAGACAAGGAAATTAACCTTAAATCATTGTTATGATCTTGAAGTTAGAGGGTAATAGTTTTGCTACACTAGTTGGCAGCATCTGCTCCTTATTCTTTTTGTCTTTGTCATGCAGCTCTTACACGGTTTTTTGAAACTTTACACATTATATATAACTTACAAAGTTATATAATCTTTCTTGCATTAGGTTGCAGAAGGGGATCTTGTTCGATGTTTAAAGTGCCTTCATCATTATCAATACTTAGTGATTAAAATTTATCGTGAATTAATATCAGTGTAAATAATCCTATATTCCAGCAATAAGTACTGTTAAATATCTTTGGGTAATTTGCCCTGAAATTAGTGATAACAATTGTGGCTACAAAACTGTTTAATGAGTTGTGAGGATATCAAACTATACTGAATACATGCACCATTGAACAGTTAAAATGCAAGTGGCAATGTAATTTGTACTGGCAATACATTTTTTATAAAGAGAAGTTAAAACTTGATGAGAGGTGTTTGCGGATAAGTTATGCTGTTTTTAAATGGAACAATTTTGATAACTTCCTCTTCTGAAATTATTATTAGTTGACAATTTGTTCTTGGCTCTTTCAAAAAACACATTTTTGAAGTTTCTAGATGATAACAAATTTCACCTTCGTCAAAAATTGTGTTTTTTGTTTTAAAATGTTTTAATATCTTCTTTGTGAATTTAAACATTGGTAGCTAGATTTTGTATAAACTTGTATAAAACATACCAGAATTTTTTGGACTTGAGTTATAAGTGTATCTCTTGTGTTACTCTATATATCTTTAATTATAAATGCATAAGACAAATGGAATGAAAAGAAATGGTGGGTATGTTTTGTCTGTTATCTACAAGGAGTTCAGAATGAGCAAATTTCAAAGTATCCTTTTTGATGCTTTGTCTCTCCAGTATGTAGCAAAAGTGATATCAGGCTAAATCTTATTGAAATTAACCATGTGTCATCAATCATTGCTTTCTGTAACTTCGCTGTTGTAAATCTTCCTTATGTGTGAAAGGTACAAAACAATCATGTGTTAATGTAATGAGTACTCAAATGATCAAAGAGTTCTAAAGTAATAGTTTACAATAATAGTGTATTTTAAAAGAATGACTTTATGAAGTTTATTTTGTATTTTAATTTTTTGTTGATTTATACAGTCTATTATAAGAAATAATACATTTCTATAAATTCTAAACAAATATTTTTATTATTTTATTTTGCCTTTTAAATGTCCTTATTGCATTAAAATGAATTGATCCAACTGCTGTAGAAAATTCTTTTGAAAGATTTAGAAAAATATTTTTTTTCCCAAAAAATATTTTTTTAAATTTAAACAGGAAAAAATAATATTGATCTATTTTTAAACTGAATAATTTTTAATTAGCATTTTTTGAAGCTTTATGTTATCAAAAAATAAAAATATAGTTAAGAGATCTTTCTATTTGTCGAAGGACTGGCTTCAAAATGTTTTACTTAATTTTGCTTAGAGGTGCCTTATACAATATTCCTTGGCTTTATTTTGGGTCAAAGAAAGTATGTGAACACCCAACAAACTTCCTGGCTAAGTCATAAACCTATTTTTATTGGACAGCATTTTGCGAATTCCGTAATATAAGATTTTATGTAGCATTTTTATGAATATTAATAAATAATGGTAGTAAAACTGGCACAAATATGAGTGTACTCTATGGAATAATCTTAATACCTGTAATCTCCATGTACTAAATCTCTTTTAGTGGTGTTCTTTCATATAGAAACTATGCCAACAGCTTGTAAAGATAAGAGGTGTTATGAAAATGCAGACTGAAGTTGCAGTACATTTGCATGGGGGAAAGAAGGTTCAAGAACAGTTTTCAGGTTTTGAGAGGTTAAATAATGTGTACCTCACAAATGTGTATAGGGGTATTTTTAACTGTGATTCATTTCTTGAGATACTTGTGAAGGGCTCAGCATATAGTCTTAAGCATCTGACTGAAATAGAGTTTTAAGACAAAATGTGTCACATCCTCCTCCCCTCTCACAAAAGGAAGCCAATTACTGTGTAAATACCATTTTCATCAAAATAAAAAAACAACTTAAATCTCAAAAATACGTAAATAGATTTTTGAATTTATTTACTAATGGAAACCGCTAAAGCTCATATACACGTACGAAGTTACAATTGAAACCATTTGTGAGTAGGTTGCATCATACTCTACACTGAAATTGAGTGTCAACAATGGTGATCTACATTATAAAACTGAATAGTAGTTTCTTCTTCAGGAGTTAATATGGTCCAGCTTCTCTTTGAAGGAGTCAACACAATCATGTGGGGGACAACTGTTGACTATCCTGTGAATGAGAAGTATTTCCAAGCATTGGTCCTCAGGATCACTGAAGCTTCAGATGACATCCTTGTAATTACTGTCATTAAACCTGACAAAAATCCCATTAAAGTTTTGGATGTATCTGATGTTTAGGACCTTAAATATTTCAACAATATTATTCCTATCACTTGTTTGTTGTAGTTTGGGGAGGCACATTTTAATTTTCTCGCCTTACAAATTCTTTGTAAGTAGAGAAAGTTATGCAATCATGCTCCAGAAAACGCTGAAATTTCGCAAGGAAAAACCTTATTGTTGGGTTCTGGTAACAAAACGATGGACAGATTCTATTGTTTAATTTTGAAAAAATCCTTTAACTTGTGGTGTAGCCAGAATCCATGTTTTGTTGGTTCCTGATAACGAAAAATTGATTGACGTCAAAACGTCTGTGGTAAACGCTAGTAGACGGATAAACCGTTCAGACAATTTTCTCCTCGCTACTCGTACATTTTCAAAAAATGGCTCCAAATTTTTTGATTAAATTGTTGTACAATAGTGTGAAAGATGTTTAAGCGAATGGTGCAGGTCTCATATTTGGTAATATCCCTGATTTTTTGAAAATTGCAAAAATTATTTTTAAAAGTACAATATTAATGATCGGTATTTTTGGCTCAGACAAGCTGTTGTACAAAATTACGTCTTCGGAAAAGAATATATAATTAAAAAAAAAAAAAGGTTAGTTTGGCGTAATGTGGACTTGACATTTATAAAAAGCAATTTCTCCAGAACGGCTCAAGTTTTTTCTTTAAATTTTCTCCACACATGTAATAAGAAATATGGTGCTCATTTTTTTTGACAATTGCAAAAATGTTTCAAAATTACAAATTTAAAGATTGAGATTTTTGCGTCTTAAGTTTTTGTACAAATTTAGCTAGTTAAATATATGAATAAAAATTAGGGGCTATAGAATGGCACAGACTTTCTTGTCCTAGTTAGTTTTCTATTCTTTCTACTCTTGACCAACTTTTCTTATAGGCGTCATTGTCTTCTCGTCCGTTGTCTTTTGTTGCCTGAAAAACAAAACATTTTTTCATTTTCTTAATTAGCCGGCTGTGTAATGCTAGAACTTAAACTAATGGTAGATAATGGACCAAAGTTTGCTGGTTCAAATCTCGTTTGGGAACTATTATTTGTGACAATTCTGTGTTGCTGCCGGAAATAATTGATAATTCTAGAAAAATTATTGAAAACCATTTGAAGCAATTCTAATACCAAATTCTATTTATCAAGAGAAATAAACTGGAAGTTTCTGTATGTGATTTTCAACTATTAAACAAATTTTTGATCTCTTATTGGATTTGTAAAACATATGAACCATTAAATCAATTGTTGACTTTCAGTGCTTACGAGGATTATAGAAGTGCCAATACTATGTAAAACTGGGGTGGCCAAAATGGTTAAATGTTGGGTTCGGACTCAGCATTTCACAGAGAAGGGCTGCAGGATCGAGCTTGGCTTGGGGGTAATTATTTGTCACAACTCTCTGTTGCTGCAGAAAATTATTGAGAATTTCAGAAACTTAATTGAAAATCATTTGAAGCAATTCTATTCACATTTACAATCTATTAAGATTCTAAATAAACTGGAAGTGTCTGTATGTCATTTTCGTATTTTGAAATTTTAAACAAGTTTTCAACAGTCTTGTCGTGTTCCTAAAATGTATGTCACATCAAATCAATTGTACAATATAATATTTAAATCAGTATAATATTGCTGAGTGTTTAAAAACATTGCGAGAAAGTATGTGCTTTGGCAGCACCACTAGTTTCTTATCTCTTGGCAACAACGAGATGACAAAAGAGTTCAGTGGGTATCTGTGTGTCCTTTGTTGAATTTTTACAATATTTTCTTGTTTTAGGGACTTACATGACACTCATGTATTCAAGAATAGGGGTCTAATGTATACCATGTATGTTTTTTTTAGTTTTAGGGTTATTCGATTTATGAAAGAATTTTTTGTATAAGAGGCATAGTAGGCTTTTCTAGTCATAGTCAGTATGCGGCCTTCCCCTTTCTGATTTTGTTGAACGCCAATGATGGCTCCCATTATCATGTTTATATAATTTTATGTAGATTTGTAGTTTCTGAATTCCCTGCCATGGATTAGAGGTCGCCAAAACTAAGTCTTCACTCAATTCTTATCTTGACCCTTGCATTTGTCCCTACATGCTCTTCATTAAATTTCCCATGTCATGTTCACTGAATGTTCTCTACATGTTCACGGCATGTTCGTTTTCCCACCATATATTCTCTTCAATGCCAGAGCTAGACAATTTTGGGCCTGGGACAATACTGAATCGTAGTCCCCCTGCCCTGAAAAAACAAATTTAAAATGGGAATGTATTAAGAAACCAAATGAGTTAATTTTATTTATTTCAACAAATAACAAAACGTATATCTTTTGAGCTAGAAAAAGGTTTTGGAAATATTTTTTAAATAATAGTTTTTAGTAAAAGAATTTACTTTCGGACAATTGGGTGTAAACCTGGAGACCCAGGTTCAAATTTTGGTCAGGGCAACCAATTCTTTGAACAAATTTAATTATTAGAACTATTAGTGATCAAATGTTACACTCTCCACGGTGAGCTTAAAACACTAAAAAAATCTTGTTTAATAAAATGACTTGTTATGAAATACATGAAATTATAAATATGAATTTTAGTATAACTTATTTTAAATTTAGCATCATTTGATTAATTTCATACACTCCTACCTTACAAGTAATGACTATAATTAACTATTTAAAATACAAATTTAATTGGAAATTTTATGAAATATCGAACTACTGTACTGCAACTTATAAAATTACGATAATGATATTCTTCAGTATTAATTTTTTTATTTATTTTTTCCTATCGGTCCCATCATCTGGCCCGTTGACTTGCAAGCGCCTGGGCAATTGCCCGATCTGCCCATTGCGTGTGCACTGATTCTCTAAGATATTCTCCATGTGTTCCCTTGCTAGTCTACCACTAAATCCTCACATGCTCACCATGATTTTGGGCATGAATTTCTGCATGTTCTCTATGAACTCCCTACATGTTTTCACAAGTTTCCTGAAATGATCCCCTAAAATACTCCGCCAATTTCCCCGCCAAATCTTCGTCACATGATGCCCACACTTTAGTATGGAAATTAAACTAGGAAGAAAGAAAAAGACAAGTGGTTTTTGTAATTTCAAAATACTTGTGCAGGCATTATGGCAGTTTATATTACTGTGCCTCCCTTGCTGGATGAAATAGCTAAGGGACAAGTAAATCCAGAAAAATGTAATAGAAGCATCTCAAAGATTTTCGCAAAAATTGCTATCCTCCAAAAAAAACAACAATTTTTTAAATCATTGTTTTAAAAGTGAAAATAGCTTCACAAGGCATTCTGGCTTTCACCATTTCTGACATTCTGGGCTGAGTGACAGAAGCTATCAAAGAACGTAATAGAATGTCCGAAAAGGTGTTGTTTTGTAGATAATGGTCATAGAAAACATAACTTTTCTGTGGACTTACACATGTTTTTCATGTTTAATTTTTTTTTTCCATCCTGGGCTAATTTCCTATCTGGAAGTAATACACATATGGGTTTTCGTGTCCACAGTTCCTTATAAAAGGGAAAAATCCATAATTTTTCCTTTGTATTTAGAGAGGATGACTTAAAATTTGTTGTATTAACTTTTTGTTGAACTAAGAAATATTAGTACTAACCCGAAGATTTAACTCTGAGAAAATTGTCTTTTCTAGGGTGGCAAGCAGTTTAAAATTACCGTTGCTAGTGATCACTATGTATTTTCAACTGAGCAAACCTTCAAGTTTTTGAAAACTTCCACACTAAATGATTGGCATATACTGGGTTGCAATCCTGTCAAGAAATTTGGAATGTTATTTTTTAAACCAATCCAAAATAATGATATGTTTTTTTAAGATAACTTCATGAAAATCTTATTCTTGTTTATTCTTTGTTGTAACATTAACGTTAGTGACAGAAATGTTTGATTGTGTTTTCATACAAATATATAATTATAGTTGACATTAAATACATTAAAACTTGAATCACACTTCCCATTATTGAGACTGCAGCAGTGAAGGTTGTAGATCTAACTTGCATGTTCTGAAAATAAATGTTATTACTTTAATACGTCTTGGTAATTAAATCAAAATTCTGACAGCACTAAAAAAGTAATATTTCATAAGTGATTAATTGTAGGTAGACAGCAACATAGTTCAGATGTCTACGCAACCTGTGCTGTCCATGTCTTCCCAACTCTTCAATTCAATTCAATGATGCCTTTTTTTTAAGTGGTGAGACTCAGGCTGTCGGGCTTGTTCTTCTGTCTGATCACACAAATTTCATTACACTTCTTTCACTATCTAGCAAAGGAAGAAGGTATTACTCAGGTGTTAAAACAAGTGATTTAAATTTAGCTCAGAGGCCTCCTTTTGGCTTGAGGACCTTTTATTTCTAGTAAATCAATTTACAGCTGGCTTTCCCTCTGAAGGAAGATCTGTGAAGGTATTTTTTTTCCTTTACAAATCTTAGGCTTTGAACCCACAAACTTGGGTGTAACAGCCTGCTGTTACACCTCTGAAGCTGAGAAACTCTTAGTGTAGAGGCATCTACACTAAGGGGTGGAGCGACTTTTTTGTGCCCACAGATATCCGAACCACATGAAATACTATTTTCATGTAGGCTGATTCATAAAACATAGAAAATAATGTTTATCAGCAAGTTGAAACAGGCCAACTGGGGTAGTGATCACCAATGTTGGGATGTAAAGATGGATGTGGCAAGGTAGAGCACTCCCAGTTTCCACGTACACCTCTTGAATCTTCTTCCTTCCTTTCCTGGGTGACAGTGGGCCATCAGGCATTTGTGCTCGTGTATATCTGGGCTGTAGGTTCGAATCCCACATGGTGGGCTTGTGGTGTGGTGTATATTTCTTGCACACTTAAACAAAATTCCTTCCCATAATATCTTGCACCTGGAGACAATTATCTGAACCAAAGTGGGTGTAGATATAAAACAAGAATACATGCAGTACTTGAACAGATCTGATGCCTTCCAGCACCATTGTACCTTTGAATTGGAGGAATAAAATTCCTTGAAAGTACTTTGTGCATGTTTTCCTTTAAATCTGTTTATTAATATGACAAAACTTACTATTTATACAAAAATGAAATACGAAAAAAACTGCAAAATTGATAATGAGTTGACCTTAATACAGTAATTAACCAATTATAAATAATCTATAATACTTACAGGCCTCACAAGAAGTACTGATTGTGGTACTAAACCGAATCCCCCAAGAGTTGTGGAGAAATGTTCAGTTGTAAAGATAAATTGTGGAGAAACTGTTGACAGAGTGAAGTCTCTGGGGAAGAACCAAAAGTTGTAGTTAATTGTAGATTTTTTGAGAAATATTTTTATTTTCTAACATTTATTTATTTCAATCACTGTTACAGAGATGTCATATTTAATGTTCAAACTGTCACATCTACAACAATGGTTTCTAATCAGATTACTTTTATGAAAGAGGAACTATGAATGTCTTTATTAGACTGAAGAACTTTGAAAATGCTCTTTCATAAAATATTCTCCAAGTCATATTAAACCTTAACATTCTGAGGTCACAGTTGGCCAGAGGTAATGTTCATGCCTTAACCTGGATCTCTTATACTCACCCGAAAGGTAGTTCTAAATTTGCCTGCACGTATTCCCTGACTTGGTGAATCGTAGTTCTTGCTGTAAAGCAATGTGTATGTGTTGCTCCTCCAGGTAAGCGAAATTCAATTTCTGCAAAACTGAGCGGGTCATCGCACCTATAAAAATATTTTAAATTTAACGAGGTGTAGCAGATTAAGCAATAGATATTGGAAGCGATAAGAGATTGCAACCGTGCTCAAGCCACTTACAGTTTTTCATGACTATGCTGTAATGTTAAATGGGAATCAAATTTAAATTACACACAAACTTAATGCATCATAATAAAATGGATTTATGATTATATACAAACTTTCACACACATGCACAGCGGTATTAAGGGAGAGGTACTAAGATAACACGGCTTAATTTACTTAACGTTAATGTTACTACGTTCAATAAAATGGTATATTCTTCTTTATTAAAATTTACATATATATGCACGTGTATTAAAGTATGTATAAAGTATTTTTATATATGTGCTGTAAATAATTCTAACAGTTACAAATAATGCGAAGAAGTGTGTGCTGTTGTAGCACGACTAGGTTTTCTAAACGGACTAAAAATATCAAACATGTTTTCAACTTACAATCTGTATCGACATCTGCAGCGAATTTTCTCTCTTCTTCGTTAAGACTTGGTTTCTTTTTTTGATTGCGAATGGATTTAATAAAACACGTGTCAAATTTTGGAGTGTTTAACAAATTAACATTATCTTCTCGCTGTTTACCGAGAGATTTTCAACAGTACGCAGCACCGCTCAACTTTATTAGTTTTTCACTGATCCTTGCCCAATCAGAACAATTAAATAAAAAGGCTACATTTGTGTCACGTTATGACTGGTCTTCGTTACATTTTTATTTGCGACTTTTAACTTAATCTACCAATTAAGTAAATCTTCATTAATTTAAAGTCAATTATGCAAAGAGAATCACAATGTGCTTTAACAAAACTGACTGTGCACAGTAGGTTGACATGACAAAACGGTCGAGAATTATTTACAAACGCCGGGAAGGCGCGCGTCGGCAATTGGCTGCAGCGCTGGGTTATACAGTCAAAGTAAATGCAAGTTCTATAACGTTTAATATTTTGGAATAAGTATTTTTCAAAATGTTCTTTATACCTTGAATCATTTTCTCACTAGAAGTTTTTCGTGTCTCAACTCTCAGGATTCGTAAGATTTAATTGAGTTGAAAATGCGAATGTGTAGGGTCAATTGAACGGATTAATTGATTGTTAATTATTACTGAAAATGTGCACTTTTTGATCAACTGAGTTAAATCGTCTTCATGTATAGCTCCAATTTTTGGGCAAACAAAATGGCAAGTTATTTTTATCAATCGAGATATGAGGAATTGAAGTTAAAAAGAGCTATGAAAATTTATACAATAAAATATTTAGTCTTTATTATTTTCTTCAATTGCTGTAATTTGAAAAAAACATATTTATATAACAAAAACTATGTGTTTTAACATGCTGAAATCTGTAGTATTAAAAAATTGAATTTACATAATTTTGTTAAAAAGATTCTCAATATCGTTCTTTGCTGGTCAGCTGTGCGAGCGCAGGTGCCTGTGCTGAATGAAAATGAGCAAATGTAATTCCAGTCAATATTTTTTTTCAAATTAAAAAAAAAATCTTTTGGATTAAAGATTTTTTTAAAATTTTGTTGCGTCTACATAGACGCAACGCGTCTTCAAGCCCCTTCGCGCTTTTGAAGTAGTCTTCCATTAATCTCTGCGCGGGACTAATCTCTGCGCTAATTCTTCACTCTGTCGTATCGTCTCAGTCAGTTGTCAAGAGGACCGCAAGGTAGCATCTTCGTGTACGCGTCTCTCTTTTTGTTACGCGCTCCTGCGTCAATCCCCAGCTGTCAGAATTAGGATAGGGATTAGGACACTTCACAGGGGTTGGACTAGCCCTGTTGAAGCAGCCAAACTCGTTTTGTCGGAACAAATTTCATATGAGATTGTCCGGGAATCGAACCGGGGCCTCATCGGTGAAAGGCGAGCGACTTCGCTCTGCCGCCCAGGAGCCAGTTTGCGGCCACTTTACGCCTGAACATCATGTAACAATTTACAATGTTGCCGCCCACAGTTCTTACATTGAAGTCTCGACTCTGGCCTTTTGGTACAACCGACCAACACTATACAGCGAGAGTAAGCACGCAAACCAACAATTAAAACTGCAACTGAGAGGAACAAATGTAACACTTTTTGAAATTAATTTTCTCTCGGCAAAATACTTCACCCGACATAGGCATGAACCGTGCTGGAAAATCTGGAGCCGGCAACAAGCTTGCACAACACATCATCAATTCTAGTCCTAAGCAGTCTCCTGTCAAAAATCCATCCTTCTCACCTTCCTTACATTCTCCACCCCACACCCTTATTTCGAACCCACTTACCTCCTCCTCTGACCCTTCTACCGTTTCTCCCACTTTCACTACCAATTATCCTACACCTGATGTCTCAGTTTCCTCACAACCTGTCGCTGCCGGGACACACTACAACCTTCGACCACGCACTTAGGTAAAAGTGGAGTAAGTATATAGCAACTACAGTCAGATGCAGTAGAAAAACGTCCGTGTAGGTACTTGCAAAAGATAACATACTGCACTATAATGTTCAATCCCTTTCAAATAAATTTGAATTTATCGAAGCAGCAGGAGTGGCTAAAGGTCCTGCATGTGGGGATTCTTGTATTTACGTTTGAAGTAATATCACTTCTATCACCGTGACGGAATTAAATGTGTATTCCGTTTAAAAAAATCTTTTTGAAAAATCTGTAGTACATCTTCCTACGATAAAAATTATATTACTTTGCATCTACAGGCCTCCAAAAAACAGAGCAGTAGATTATATTATGTTCTTAAAATAACTGGATATAACAATCAAGAGGCATCGTCTTTTTGAATCAATGTCGTAGTGCAGAGATTTTAACATCGATTTTCGGTCGATCTTGCGAGACAGAGCAGTTTTCTCACTTAATTCATTCCTCGTTTATATATTACAATAAATATCTACTGATATCTGGATACCTCTCCGATCACCAACTAAATTCAAAGAAGGCTATTGATCAAATAATAATTAACAAAACCACTACTCGATATGAAATTGAAACAAAAGAGAGTAGATTGTGTACTAAAAGTAAAATTAAATTATTCATCAATTATTTGCTGCAAGAGACATGGGACGCGGTTTACAATACTATTGAAACAAACGATAAATATATTTTTTTTCAACGCTTTCATTCAATTTTTGCACTCGCTTTCCTCTTCAAAAAAGAATATTAAAATTTTCACGTAAAAGTAATTCTTGGATAACGCAATGTATTAGGGCTTAATGTAAAAACAAACGAATTCTTTCTTTCATTTCAAAGAATCATATCGTATCTCAAGATTTCATCGTCTATTTCAAAAAATACAAATCATTGTTAAGTAAAGGCATAAGGCAGGTTAAAATCATGAAACATGATCACGATATTTTGAACTCAAATAATAAAACATAAGCAATGTGGAATATAGTAAAAAATTCGACCAAATCAACTAGAAACATTGTAGAAAATGTTGTATTAAAAGATAACTGTAGAAATGTGAACGATCCGGCAACAGTGGCTAGTATCTTTAACTAATACTTTTCGAGAATTGCTGTCGACCTCATTAAGGGTCTTCAGTAACAAAATTCAACATCAGACATATCCCCAAAGATTTTTTTACGATGTTCGTTTCCAAAACTTCTGCCAATGAAGTTCTCAAAATAATCGGTAGACTAAAAAGTAAATATTAGGCCGGTTTAGACAAATATCCGGGTTGTTTGTTAACGACTTGGGCACCTGCCATTATACACGTTAACGCACATATTTATTATATTCTTATACACAGACAAATAGAATTGCGCCAAACATTGTTCAATACAGCTAGATTAAACCGTATCTACGTTTAAAGTCTTTCCATGCGTCGCTTCGAGTAATTCTATGTGGTCTCGCTCTCGACGCGCGTCCGTTGGCTGGCGTGGCACGTTTCGCCTGACACTGTCGCAGCGTTACCTTCAGATCGAGTGAGTTTGCACTCTCCAGGCTATTACGCACGCGGTGACGTTCTCTTCTGTCTCAGTACGGCCGAGAATTTAAAGATTAAACCGCTTTTCAAAAGAGGCAACAAAAATGAAATTCAAAATTATAGGCCAATTTCTCTTTTGGTCGTTTTTTTTTTCAAAATTATTAGAGGCATTTTTACGTATGAATGGAAATCTTTCTTAGTGAACAACATGCGTTTACAGATTGCCAACATGAGTTTCGAAACTCAAAATCTACGGAAATAGCCATGTTTTCTTTTCTTAAAGATGTCACCTCATCCATGAATCAAAATGAAGCACCTATTGGAATATTTTAAATATTTCAAAAGCTTTTGACCTCATTGATAATATTTTACTTTCAAAATTACTTCCGTATGGAATTTGTGGTATTGCTCTAGATTGATTATGTTAGTACCTTAAACAACAATCTCAGAGGATATAAATACCTTACAGGAATATTGGAACATTATGTACACACCTTGCATGTGGAGTTCTCCAGGGATATGTTTTAGGTCATATTCTCTTCCTACTATATGTAAACGTGCCCTCGGAGATTAAAAACGGAAGAACAGTTCTCTTTGCGGATGATACGAATATTCTTTGCAATAAAGAAACCGCAAGTTGTACAATATCAGATATTTCAAATGGGTCCGTAATAACAAATTAATAGTAAATGAAAAGAAAACGGTCGCAAGTTTTCTATTTCAAAGAAACAGCTCTGTACTGTAATATTAAGGTAACAAATTTTTAGGTCTTTCAATTCAGTCAAACCTTAAATGGAACGTCCATATAAATAAATAGAACACCAAATTAAGTTCTTTATGCTACGATTTCAGAATGTTTTCAAATTCAGTCAGCCTCCATAATGCTCGTGTATATTTTGTGAATCTCGCCCAAGAATGTTGATTCTCGCTCTGTTTTTTCAAAAATTGCAAAAGTATAATATTGATAATATTAGGGAGCCCAAAAATTGAGTAAAAGTGAGAATGAGGCCAAACCGAAAAACTAACCCAGATTAAAGATTAGGAAACTGGGTTTCTGTTGTCACATGTTAGGAAGGGATTCTGGAACTCAAGAAAACGTGCGCAGTTGATTTTCTCCTCCATAAGTGACATATAGTTTCTACTGATTTTTGACTAAATAAATAATATCAAACCCACTAGTTAAGTTGACAATTTGGGAAACTTTTATATATTCGAGGTAGAGGCTCATCAAGTCATCTGCTAACACCACACAAGCTTCAAGATATAATCAATTGTATATATTGTTTTATTCCAGTTGGAGTTTCATTGTCCTTTAAGAGTGCTATTTATTTACTAGTAAAATATGCAAGTAAAACACATGAATAAATAAGGGGGAGGGCGAAATGGGTCCCTATTATTTTAAGCTGCCCTTAAAAGCTTAGATTATGTTCTCACACTTGCATGGCTACATAATTGTCCCCCATTCACAATTTAGAAATTTTACATTTATCTTTGAAATGTTTCAAAATGTATGATATATTTTAGTGTATTACTGTGATTTGTTAAAAAGTAATTTTATTTTAAAAACATTGATACTTACCTATAGGGACATGCTGTTCCACAGAGACCAGGATGTGAGGGCAACACTGGCATATTTTCAAGTCGATCAAATATGTGGTGCTGACTATCCTGATAACCATGAATTTTAAGTTATAAGCAACTATGTAAATATAATTAACAATATATGGTTTTTCTCTAGCATAAAATATTTTATGTAAGATTCGAGTACCGAAATTCATTTTGTGTGTGTTGGTTGAACAACGTACTTCATTATCATTTGTGATTTCATTGTGATTTGTATCCATGTTAGGATTACAAGTAACTGCTAAATGAAGATGGAGAATTTTGGCAATCTTGATTTCACCTAGTTAACAAACGTCCTATATATATTTATTACATGTCATACGTTTTTTTCTTATTGATTTTTTTTCCTTCTCATCAAATTACAAGTAAAATTTGAATTATTTTTTAAAGTTTGATTCTGGGTTAGATTTGAATTTAGTGAATGACTAAACAGTTCTCAACAACTGTTTTAAGTCAGGTTAGTAAATTAGCATCAGTAAACTGCGTTCTAGCTTCATTCTTGTGCTTGTTGGAAACTGCTCATAAGATCTTGTTTTCTGTATCTGAAAAGAATAATATTAGACACTGAGTTTTAAAGGAATTTAAGTATTGCCAAGGAGTTGACAAATAAATCACTGCCAATACAATCCAAGTGTGACAGTAGGGATAGGAAACAAGTGTCTATTCATGACATAGTACTATATCCAGCAAAGGGGAAAGAGTTATGAAACTGTTTTATGTAGAAAGAGATAATGATATACAGCCGGAACGGAAGTTGTCCCGCCCTTAATTGATTCTAAGATTTTTAAGGTTAATATACAATTTGAAATGCAAGGCTGTGTCAAGAATATTATCCATAAAAATATACACTAATAACGATATTAGCAGAAAAACTAAACTTGTTACCGTAACAAACGAACGCCACTGATTAGTCATATTTGCCTTTGTAAACACGACCTCTCGAACTGTCCGCCATTTGGAAGTCAGGAAAAGACAATTGTAACACAATGTTGCCAGATTCAAAATATGATGCTAATATGATCGTACAGCGGATTTGGGAGCGTGACAATGTGTGTTTTATTTCTTATTAAAGATGATAGTTTTACTATTTTAATTTCTCGTATACGTTCACAAATTCGGAATATTAGAAAGATTTTGCGTTAAAGCAACACAGAGCACTATCGATTTTACGCATGCGCAGTTCAAGTTTAGCATTACTTTTGTGCTTCTGCGCATGCGCAGAAGGTCTAGGTTGCAGTCGAAGTCGCCTTGCTGCCCGCGAAGGCGTACTCTCCATGGTTTAAAGATATACTACTCTCTAATAAAGCATTATAGAGAAAATTTGCTACAATTTGTTTTCTACGGACAGTGAAAAACCTATTGTAATGCATTGTAAATACGTTGTATTACTCGTATAAGATGACATAAATGCCATTTTGCTGTTTTCTTTTATTTTTAAAACACAATTTCATAAAATTATTGCAATTGAGAGTAGAAGTGCTTGAAATTATTTCCAAAAACTCTCGGTTCTTGAAAACACAAAATTATTACAAACTGCATATAGGTTGGTAAATTCTATCTGTTTGCAAGTTAATTGTAAGCCCATAGCTCACTTGCGAGAGATGGAAAGATATCGGAAGGCCCTGGGGTCGGATCCAATTAGAATAAGATATTTTGTGATAATCCATTTTCAGTATGATTATGTGTTGCATTAGTAGACAATCATGGCAAAAAATGTTTCTAAAGGCAAAATACATTTGATCGAATTTGCCATTCATTCCATTGGGTTGATCTAAACCTATTCATGCCAATTGTTCCGTATATAAAATGGATTTATATTTTCTATTACGTTTAGGAGATACAATTGAATATAAAATTGTAATTGTATTAATGTAAATATATAGATTTGTTTGTCATGTTTAAAGACTAGTTTAATGTATGTAATATTATTTAGTACCTGCATTGCACTGCTGAATGATCATATAAGATGTTTTCTGAATATATTTTATGAATACTACACGGAAAAAATAATCTTTATAATTGATAATTGATTCTTTCACTACCCAAATTCTTTCCGTTAATTTTACATTTTCACCCTTACTTCGTAAGAAGAGGAAGTATTGTAATTGATCCGGAAAACGACGAAATTTCGAGAGAAAATCTCTTATAGTGAAGCCTTGGTAACGAACAAGGGGAAAAATCGCATTCATATATATAGTAAATTACTTTATCACATGATGTTGCCAGAATTCATCTATTGTGAGTTCTCGATACTGAAAAATCGATTGACGGCAAAACGTGTGTCCGTCCATCTGTCTGTATGTCTGAGGTCAACGCTAGCGCCTGAAGTGTTCAGACGATTTTCTTTAAAATTAATATTCTCCTATCGATCTGTACGAACACGACATTTTGGGAGTTTCAAATCTTTTATTTTTGAGAATACTTTACACAAATGCTAAGCATTTAAAACATTTTCTCAAAAATGCCTCCAAATAGTTTGATTAAACCTTGTTCTCGGATAGTGTAAAGCGCTTAAGATAATGGCGCAGGTCTCATGTTCGTTAAAGTCCATGATATTTCGAAAATTTCAAAAAGTGCCACTTTTGAGGGCATCTTTCTAAAACTACATTATTGAAGAGAGATATTTTTTCCTAATGAAATTTATTTTTCAAAGAAATGAATCTTGAAATAAGGTCATGCTCAATTTCTCCAAAATATAAGTAATTTTCTTGTGCTTTTACGTGAAAAGTAGGCCATTTTAAATTTTTTAAAATAATCGTTTCTTAAAAACAGCATAAAACTTTTTCTTTAAATTTTCTCCTCATATGTATCAAGGAACGGCAAAAAATATAGTGCTAGTCTCATTTTCGCCGAACTCTCCGTATTTTCGAAACTTGCAAAAAGTTAACATGTCAAAATTACAAAATTGAAGATAGAGTTTTTTGGACTTAAACAAAGTCTGTTGTAAGAAATCAGCTCTTTAAAAAAGGCCAGGTACAATTTTTTGAAGAAACGAGTAGTTTCTGCGTAATTTGTGCTTGAAATTAAAGCAATTAAAAAATCTCAAAAAACGCTCCAAAATGTTCTTTTATTTCTTCATTGATAGAAAATTCAAGCTGAAAATAATAGCGCGGTCTTGTTTTCTTTGAACTCTCTGAATTTTCAGAAATAAATAGCAAATGTAATGCAACAAAGTATGTGCTGTTGTAGCATCACTCAATTTAAATATGCGCACAAATAGCGGAATATATAATAATAGAATTATTACGGGGGCCTTTGGTCCGCAACCCCTGTCGATGCAGCAGTGCTTCATCCAGAAAAAAATTATATGTTTGAAAATATCGATGTTTGAAAATATTGATGTTCAAATTTTAAAAAAATCGTTATTCAAAATACATCGACCCAAAACCATCGATGTTTTTAAATATTATTGCTTGTAAAACTATTTTAATTACTTCTAACATCAGTCAGGGGGACGATTTCCTGTCCCGGTGGTCGTGATTATTAATTTACAATTGAATGGGTGAAAACCAGAACGGTATTAGTGACCTTTTATAAATTCTGATAAAAATGTGTTTATTTTAGGCTATATTTCAGTGGCATTGTAATTTCGTGGTTTTAATGAATTTAAATACTGTGGTTTTAATGAATTGAAATACCGTGGTTTTACACGACCGCACCACGACTATACAGTGATATTGAATAAAATAAACAGTTCTCTATGAATTTATAAAATGTCACTTATACCATTTTGGTTTTCACCCATTCAATTGAGACCCAGGTGACAAAACAAAGTCAATCATTTCTCAGAATAATTGATAAAGCGTTTATTATCTAATTGGATAATAAAAAAACATTACATTTATCAACAAAATTTATATATTTTTTTCACTTTTGGTGACTTGTCCAAAGATTGTTCAAATTAAAGGCATTTCGAAATATTTTTTCATTCAAAAATATAATACCAACACGATAAAAACATTTAGATCAAAATATAATGCTACACATATAGGTATCAATAAACTGATGTTAAGTACATCAGTGTTTCTACAAAAACATCGATGTTTGGAAGCATCGACATCGATCCTTACTGGCCAGCCTCTCGATACAACCGCCTCAGGAACGCCTGGCGAACGCAACCCGCAAGCTCTGCCGGCGCTGCGGGCCCAGCAGGGGCAACCAAAGAAATTCATTTCAATTCAATTTTCAATTCAGTGATGCATTATTTTACGTCTGACAGCGCAAATTTCTCTATGCTCTTTTAGCCATGTAGCGGAGAGGGAATGTATCACTCAGGTGACGAAACAGGCGATTTGAATTTTGTTCATAGCTTCTTTTACTCTAGGGTCTTAGAAAATCTACATGGGACAACCGTCTTTACTTGACCTCCAAATGATGGCATACAAAGGATTTTTAAAGACCCCTATCAAAGACAAAAACTCACGGTTTCTATCGGGTTTGAGCCCGCAAACTAGGATATAACAGCCTAGTACGGTAAAGGCCGCTCCATAATAGCTCGTGAATGGGAACTGTTTTCCCATTTTGTGCCTTTCTTCCCTTTTTCCAATTGTGTCCATTTTGTCCCCATTGTTCATTTTGTCCCACTTGTACTCCTCTGCCCTTACGGTCATTCCGCGCACTGCGATTGCTATTTAAAAACGATATAAGACCCAGTAACAAGAATTTTGCTACAGAACATCGTGGGTAATGACAATTCTTAACTCACGAAAGTGTTAAATGTTTATTTTGAGAAACTAGAAATAACAAAAAACTTTCTATTTATTCGTCCTCTATTTGTCTTTAAGGAATTTTTACATAAATAACTGTTATTTCGCATTTTTCTTTGCAAAGCTGCATTTCAGAGAGCTTGCCCTCCGTGTAGTATTTAGTCATTGGCAAAAGAAAAATTCTCAGAAGTTATATAGGTAGATCCTGCAATTTGATTCTATTAGGTCAATGCATATCCAGCGCTTTTAAGACCCTATTAATAGTTATTTAAGGACTTATTAATAATTGTTTAAATAAATACT